TTCCCTAACTTCAGAAGCAGTATCACTACACCCTACCAGTTTACACAGCTAATCTTTGGCTAACAGTAAGCTTATCAACAGCTTTTTATCTAATCTTTAGCTTATATTATTGAATCAAATAAATTAGTTCTAAAGTATATCTTGATAACCAGCAAAATAAAAGACACAATGATAATCTGTCCTGGTTGAAAACCTTTATTTCCATTTAGGTAACAACTTTATTGAGAAATCACAAAACTCAGCCAAGTAAAGTATAGATTCCAAGCATTTGGAGCAGTTAAGAACTTTGTGAAGCCAGGTCAAGACTTCGTTTTTACCAACTGGCTTTGTAGCCATAAATATGCCACTTGAATTTTCTATGGCTTGATATTTTTGTATCATTGTGTTGTTGACAATAAAACCAGGGGATTGGAGAGATGGCTGGGAGGTTAAGAGAACTTGTTCTTACCAAGGACTGAGGTACAATTCCCAGCACTCATATGATGGCTCCCAACTGTGCGTAGGATATCTAGTGCCCTCTTCTGACCTTCTAGGGCACTAGGCACGCATGTGGTACACAGACATGTCTATGAGCAAAACACTCATATACATACAATAGAATAATAAAAATGATTGCAACCAAGCTTTACTGGGTAAGATCTTAGAAATTTATCAGTAATAAAAGAGAGAAACTGGTACCAATTTTTAACTTTATTTTAATTTTAAAAATGTATATGAGTGTTGTACACACACACACACACACATATATATTTTTTTTTCCATGCATGCCTGGTACCTGCAGAGGTCAGAAGAAAATGTTCAGTCTCCTGCAACTGGACTTACAGATAGTTGTGAGGTACCAAGTGGGTGCCTTTAACTGCTGAACCATCTCTCTGGCCCCCAAAATTTGACTAATTGTTGCAATAAATATAGTAATTTCTATCTCATGGGAAAGTGCTTGGTATCCAAATTAATACAAACAAGATTTTTTTGTTTGTTTTTGTTTTTCGAGACAGGGTTTCTCTGTGTAGCCCTGGCTGTCCTGGAACTCACTCTGTAGACCAGGCTGGCCTCGAACTCAGAAATCTGCCTGCCTCTGCCTCCCAAGTGCTGGGATTAAAGATGTGTGCCACCACTGCCCAGCCAAACAAGATTTTTTTAATAAAAGAATTATACTTATGTGTGTGTGTGCTCACATGAGATTATGTGTGTCACATGTGTGCTTGTATGTGAGGAGGCCAGAGAGTGTCAGATCCCTCGGGATGGAATTGCAGGTGTTTGTGAGCTGCCTGGTGTGAGTTCAGGTCCTCTATAAGAGCAACAAGTGCTCTAAGTGCTGAGCCATTTCTCAGTCCTGCCTTCACCGTAATTGTACTGCTCCGAGTCCTGGGATACAGTCCTAGACAGTAAACTTATTAGAGGACAGGATAATAACTGTTTAAAAGCAAATGTGGTGTGTTAAATAGTGATAAGTGCTAAGGGGAAAACCCGAGTAGAGAAAAAAAGGCTCCAGAAAACCTGAGGCAAAGCAGAAGGGGTATGGAGTGACAGAAAAATGTCATTTGCTTCCTGAGTGGTGTTTATGCAGAGATCAAAATGAAACAAAGTTGCAAGCCTTGAGATTTCTAGGTTAAATCCTTGCAGGCTTAGAGAACCGGTAACAGCCAGGGTTCTGAGGTGGTCCAGTGCTCACTGTATTCAAAGAGGCTATTGTTTAGGAAAGACCACAATGTCCAGCATGGCTTGGTCCTGGAAACCTGACTGGGGTGATGAGGAATTTAAAAATGGGACTGCCACACTTACAGAAAGTGGATCATGTCACTTTAATGGAATGGCATCTACTCCTGGACAACCTGGAACCCCCCTGTCTTGTTTATTATGCACAGTTCAAGAAGGAGAAGCTAACTAGTCTTAGCAGGTCTCTGTTGGGGTCAGGGGCTGTCTCAGGCTCCAAGAGGAGGAAACTGCAGTTGCTGAGTTTTGCATGTACTGGCCAGTCATTCTTACATACTCCCACTTGGACCAGAGGAAGGCTTTGCTATGTCTTGGAGCCTCACCCAGATGAAGGTGCTGCCAATTCCCTTGGGTCTGAGGCATTGGTCCTTGTCAATCATGGGCTCACTCAGGGCTTCCTCTGCTTCCCACAGAAGGCTGATAATTTTAGGAGATTAAAGTCCAAAGGCTATTGTTAGGCTTTGGGCTTTAATTCTCTGTTGAGATATGAAGTTGATAGGTAGTGCTGCACTGAACTGAAAAACAGAGGAGAAAAGAAGAAAAAGAGGAGGAAGATAGAAGAAAAGAAGCGGAGCGGTGGCTGGAGAGTTGGCTCAGTCGTTAGGAACACTGACAGCTCTCCCAAAGGTCCTGAGTTCAATTCCCAGCAACCACATGGTGGCTCACAACCATCTGTAATGGGATCCGATGCCCTCTTCTGGCGTGTCTGAAGACAGCTACAGTGTACTCATATAAATAATAAATAAATACATCTTTAAAAAAAAAAAAAGAAGGGGAGCAAGAGAGTTTAGGAGATGGCATTGTGTCATCATTTTTTTTATTTCTCTATTCGATATTTTATTTACATTTCAGATGCAATCCCCTTCCCCATTCCCCCCATCCATTAACCCCCTATCCCTTCCCTCCTCCTTTTTTTTTTTTTTGTCTTTATACTGTTTAAATTACATGCAAGTGTTAAGGTCAGTTCTAGGTTGAGGAATTAGCAAAACAATAGATGCAAGTAGTCCAGGAACAAGGAAGACAATAAACCCAGATAATCAAAGAACAAGCCTAGGGACAATAAACAGAGTCCTGTGATCACTCCCGTGATCACTATTTCTAAGGACTTATCAGGATGACCAAAATATCTGAGCCTACTTCCCTGTCCTAGCCCAAAGTCATTTTCATCCTTACTATAAAACAGCAGTCATCCTAGATTCTAGTCAACTTTGAGAGGCTCACATAGGCTTATTTATCACTTTAGAGCCAGGTTTCATTACGTGATGCAAATGGAGCAGTAGCAGTTTCAGTCATCAGAAGTCAGTGTTATATTCAACTTGTTAATTGTATTTTTAATTCAAGTGCAGCTGCTATTGCAATAAAACAAATTGCCCAGGATATTAAATAATTTCTTCCTCAAAAGTAATACTGAAGCAGCCGTCTTACATACTTGGAAATGCATTAGAAGAGCTCTAGGCCCACTGATAAAAACTAAGAGCAAAGTGTCTGGGTGGGGGAAATGCTGCCATAATTTAAAAGTAAATAGTGAGGAAAATTATTATTTAATGGAGAAAATGCGATTTTTTTATATTACCACAGGAATGCTACTAAAGAACTGTCTCAGATCACATATGATAGGTAAAATGGCAGGGATAGCTTCTCATAGTTCTCATAGTTCCAATGGCTAAGAATCTAATTCTTATGGTAACCAAAACACTTTTCAGATCCATTATTTAGTAAGCCTGGCACTGAATTGTAGGTATGTTTTTATTTGGGGGAAAAAATAGTTAAGATGGGAAGTTATACAAATTCTGTGCTTTACTTGCATTCAAAAATACTAAAATGGGGGTAGCTCTGAGGCTGGTCATTTTCACCTTGTGGAGTGGAGTAAATTTACCTGCTGTGTCAGGGAAGGTCAGGCCTGCCTCTGATTGCATATGTAAATTACATACTGGAAACCCTAAAGCTCTGACCTGAGAAAGAGGAGAGTATACCTTGCTAACAGCCTTGAGAAGAGTTAAGAATTGTAAACAGGAGGGACACGAATGGTAAGTGGAGCTGAAACAGAGATCAAACATGGCATGGCTGACTTCATCCATTCAAAAAAAAAAAGAAAGAAAGAAACAAAAAAGAAAAAAATGGTTAGTGACTTCTTGTCACACCACAGATAACGAAGAACTGTAGGCAAATAATGCCCCAAGCCTTGTAAATGTCATTGAGAGAGAAACATGCTAGATTTGGTGCATTACTTGCCTACAGATCTTAGTAGTCCCTGGTATGTGAAAGCTACAAAACAATTACAATGAACATGGTGAATGCTAGGAAGCCAGGATGCACAGATAGTTCATGTATAGACAGACGTGCACGTATGGTTAGTGCTTCGCATGTTGCAGGGAAGATGGTCCTTATTGTTTGTAGAAATGAATGGCAAGTAATTGTTATTACTACAGCAATTTGTGAATGTTTAATGTGTTTATAGCTTGTATATTCGTATTCCTATGACAGTGGTCTGGGTCCTGGAACATTGCTGGTCCACATTTTACCATAAATAATAAAAAAAAAAGTTTCTACACTGAATGGTTGGTTGGTTGTGTTGTGTCAATGGGTGTAATGCAAAGAGGGCACAACAAAAGGTTAAATTTCTAGCGTTTGAAATAAGAGTTGTATGATACTCGGATGGAGGCCTTGAGTTAATCAAACAGCGAAAACTAAATAGGCTTTTATGTTTGTTCCTGAATCTTTTTAAGTGTTTAAATTTGCCCAGCTGAAAGACATTGCAATACTTCATTACAAGACTGATAATTTCGTGGAGTAGAAATATCAAAACTCCCAATAGTGTGTGATCAACCTATCCAAGAATTACGGTTACAAAGTTCCAAGTGATTTCTGCTGCTTCAATTTGTTCAACTTCAGCCCCACCTAGGTTTTAGACCCTCGCTAAAACCGTGAAAAGGGTTCCCTTCAGAATGGTGGTGAAGCCCGTTAGGTGGGTGGGCGGGCACCTGCCAAAAACGCCACGCCAGACGCTGCTCCCCGGCTGCTGGAAAGAGTTCAGGGCATCCAGAACTTCACTGTGGCTATTGCGCAGTCTCTGCGTCCCACGCAGGCTTATTAGGAAGATGCGAGAAAACTGCCCCGAGACACGTGAACCACGGGGGACCAACCCTGGCCTCGGCTGCACACCGCATCGGATTCTGGAATTTACACTCACGAAAGTTCTATCGCCCCAGGATTGGCTCTAAGGCCGCATGACATCATAGCGCTTGATCCTGCCTCCGGGCTCGGATTGGCTGGCCGCGCCATTGTGACGTCACGGTCAGCCCACGCCTGGGTTGAAGCTGCCGGGCGCCTTCCTCTTGCTACGCGGCTGCTGCTTGCTCCTGTTCCCGCGCCCGCTTGCACATCTTCCTGCTCGCGCGGTCCTGCTGCCGTCCGGTGCTCCCCGTCGCCGCTCAGGCCGAGAGGTGAGTCGCGTGCTCTAGGAACTTGGCGGATGCCGCGGCACCGGGGTGCGGCCGGTCTGCTGGCGCCGGGAGGTCCGGATTGGGCGGGGGGCGGCAGGCACTGTGGTCGGGTGAGCGCGGGCCGAGCGGAGCTCCGCCGGGATGGATGCTGTCGCACCTGTTCGTGGGTGGCAGCCACTTTGGCGCGCTGACAGGCATGGAGATCGCAGGGAGGGATGGCGGCGTGCTTGGATCTTCCTCCAAGCTTTCTCTGAGCGACCGTAAGAGCTGCCGAGGAGGAGCCCGCGCGAGTCCGTGCGGTATCGGGCTTTGGGGCCTCGTGTCAGCTTTTCCCTGCCTTCCCTTTCCTTTGCTGCTGCCAGGGACGCCCGCTAGCCCGCGACCACTCCGGCGGGTGTCTGCAGCCCTGTCTCTCCAGGGAGGGTGGAGACTCGGGCGCAGACCTACGGGTAACGGCCTGGAGTCTGTGAATCCATAAAGTGCGCTGCTCGGAGTTTTAGGAAAGTGCCCTTTATTGTTTCCTTGCCAGCAAGCCTTCCTCTTCCCCTATCCTTGGGGTGGAGGTAGTAACGCCCAAAGGGGGGGGGGGATTCTTTTTAGATGATCTTGAAGCCCTTCGGTACCTTTGAACTTAGCGTTCCCGCTCAAGATTACGAGTTATGCTCATCTCCAGGCGCCTTGATTGCAAATTTGAAGGATGCATTGGATGAATTTTCATAAGGGGAGGGGGCGATTGAAAGAATGCAACCCATGACTCATTAGCTGAAGGATACCCGAGAGAAGTCTGATAAGAAATTGTGGGGAGCGAGCAGCCCTTCCCCCAGCCTCGACTGTCTTTCTGTTTTTTTATGTCAGTTCTGGTGGCAGGAAGTGTTTTGTGCTAGTTGTACGGGAGGGTTTTGTAATTTGTTCCTCTAACCACTTGGCAGTTATAACCTGTTGGTTTGTACTTAACGTTGCTTGCAAGTCTCAGGCCACAGCATTTGGGTCAGAATCTACAGATACAGCTAGCTTTGCGTTAGGTGAATGCGAATGCACACCTTAGATTTCCATCTGTGGTTGAGTACAAGTGAGTCGTTTATCTAGTCAGTCCCGGTACTGCCTGGTTTCTCTGCTGAAAGCTCTGACCTTGAAAGAAATGCTACTTTCCTTTGAGATTTTCTCCTGATGATAACGTCAGTGCCAGGAACTTCTACCGTAGGCCATCTCCTTTTCTATTTTCTTTTTGTCTTTTCAGTTGCGAACTGAAGGCAGAAAGGAGGAATGTTATGTACTTTCATAGAGTGTAGGGTACACTTAAACACGAATGGGAAGCATCGTTGTTGGATTTTTCAAAATAGGTAACTAGTAAGGCCAAACACTGTTCTTACTTGACTCAGTTTCGTTGTCAACCAACCGGGTTCCATGTTACTGACTTATTAGATGGTTTCAAGAGACTATAAATGAAAGAACCCAACAGGAGGTCTGCTAAATAGTGGTTTGATAAGTGTTTCCTTTTCCTTTCCTGGGATTAACAGTGTTTCTCTTGGCCAGAACCTTAGCCTTTGGATGCCTATAGTTTGCAAAATTCTTTCCCCTAGCAATTCTGCTCTGCCTTAGCCATAATTACTGCTTGTGCTGCTGTTAGAGGTGAAGTACTCACCTTTGTGCTATATTTCCAACTTGAAATATACATACAAATCAAGGCAAAATTGCTTGTCTTGTCTTTCAGGAACTGTGGCAGAGTAGAGCATATGTGTTGCCTTTTTCTCTGACACACACTAACCTTCCTGGGGTGTGTGTGTGTGTGCGTGTGTGTGTTTGAAAATAACATATATATGTAATATATATAATATATACATTCATTCTACTTTTGCCTGCCAACTCACAGTACCATAGACCACTTTCCCTTAGTTTCCTGTCTTTTCCTGCATTCGTTCCCATTCAGATACCATTCACATGTCTGCCTCCCCCCATGCCTCTTTTCTGTTTTTCCTGCTGCAGGGAGTTGAACCCATAGGTTTACACACTCTTAGCAAACACTGCCACTGAGCTCCTTCAACCCTGTTTCATGAATGAATGATAAGAACAGATTTGCTAAGTGTTTCTTTCCACACACCAGGGTCCTCTAGGGAGTCCTATTACCCACCTTTTTGTTAAAAAACCTGGAACTAGCAGCTGGATGGTAGCACCTGCCTTTAATTTCAGCACTCAGGAGGCAGAGGCAGGCAGATTTCAAGGCCAGCATGGTCTACAGAGCTAATTCCAGGACAGCCGGAGCTACACAGAGAAACTCTGTCTTAAAACACCAAGCCAAACCAAAACAGAGACCCAGAGCTAAGGCGCAGAGATGCTGACTTTCTACAGATATACAACTCTGTCTCCAGCATTCCAGCCTCTCACTACATCTGTCTGTTGTTGGATTGTCTAATCAGCTATATGCCATTTATGTAATTGTGCTATTTGGTAACTTAAAATACTATAACCTTGTGCTTAACCATCTTAAACCATCTAGGAGTAGCAATTTGCCATTTCTCAAGTCTGCCTGAGATATATGTTCCTTTATTTATCCTATACTTGATTTACTTGTTTTAAGACAGGCTCTCATGTAGTCTAGGCTGACCTCATCTTAAGGGTTTCTGAGGTCAGCCCTCAACTTCCGATCTTCCTACCTCTATCTCTTGAGCACCGGGATAATAGGTATAGGACCTGGTCTGGCTGTGCTGGGCATAGAACCCAGGGCTTTAGTATGTTAGGCAAGCGGTCTGCCAATTGAGGCATGTCCCCAATCCGTGATTCATTGTTATTAACTTACTGACTTTCGTTAGCTGGTGTGTGTTAAACATGTGCATGGATGGGCTGTCTGGATCCAAAGATGAGTGAAGCAATTTCCGATTCCAAAGAGCTTCTTGATTTGGCTTACATTTGGAGCCCTTTTGGGTGTACTTATTTTATGCTACGCCAAAAGAGAGTCAGTGGTAGGTTTCTGGGACACGTGGCAGGCGTCTGTCAGATCGTGCAGTGCCTAATACTGCTTAATTGATCAGGATGCTTTTGATTCATGAAGCAAAACCCAGTTCAAATAGGATTACCTTCACACCTTTCGTAATGGCCTTGGAAGCAAGACCTTTGCTCCAGTTCACTGCAGTCCTCTGACCGTACCTGTTGTAGATCCTTAGGCTCAATTTGCAAGATGACGCTTAGCAACTGTGGATTACCCCCTTGAGGTCCTTTACTTTAAACCCCTTTAAGCAGTAACAGGAAGAAGGATCCTAACCTGGTATTCATCCCACCGGTGGGTTGACTCTTAACCTCACCTAACGGGCTGCTGTACCAGCTGTTAGGGAGGGCTCCCTTAACACCAGCTTGTTGAAAATAAGAGGAAGTTTGGAGAGTGAACAAGTGTGGAATCATTGAGCAAGAAGGAAGTGCAGGTGACTGAAGCTGATAGAGGCAGCAGAAGTACGACTTTAGTCTGGCCTTGATGTAATGACGAATAACTTATTAAGGTTGTGGTGTTGGACTGCTAGATCACTTCCTGAGAACAGACCTCAGACCCTACTAATTGATACCAGAGCACTCTCACTTTAAAATAAGATGTTCAGTTCAGATACTTGCCCAAGGTCACAACAAATGAAGCCTAGACGTTTCTGGTGCCAGATCCTGTTTTCTTTCCGGAGATGTCCTGTAACAGAATACTACAAGTTGAGGATTTTTTTCCCCCCTAAAAGGAGTACATTGAGTGATGTTCTCAGGAAATAAGGAGTCTTGTCGGCATGTATAGGATGGGTTGGCTAGGATAGAGGCTTGGAATGTGGAGAGAGCCTGAGAATATGGAAGGGTAACAGGCTGGCTTACCTCACACAGTAGTGCATGTGCCATACTGAAAAAGCCCAGGCTGGAGCATGGTTCGAGTAAAGCACACGTGTGCTAGTTAGTGTTAGCCTTTGAAAAGGCATGGGCATTTAAGCTTTGGTGGGTAGAACTGGCTGCATTGTTCCTTATCTTCACATGCCACCAACATGAGAAATTAGCTTTGAGCCCTGGTGTGTCTTCTGTCTGTCTCTCTCACTTTCTCTCACTTTAAAAGTGAAAGGTTAACATTTCTTAGTTTCAGTTTTGCCAAGAATAAACCCTTTGTTTCTGGTTGGCAGTGGATAGAGAATGAAAATTGAGATTTCTTAGGTCTTGGAACGGCAGGGCAACTGGTGGAGGGATTGCAGCAGTGGAAGCAAACTGCTCCTTTTTTTGACTTCTGGAGCTTGGATCTTGGAACTTGACTCTAGGAAATGTTTCAGCCTAGTGAAGAAACTTGTTAAAGACACACGTCTGGCCAAATGTGAGTTTCTGTAGTAGGCCCTCCCTCCCATGCCCTGATTTCAACCCATAAACATTACTGTCACCAAACTTTTTGGTTCCCATTGGTATTTATTTTCCCCATGGGGACATTTTTAGTTGACTTGAGGTCATCTACTTTAAGCATCGTGTGATCCTGGGTTTAAAACAGTCCTCCTTGGTGAGTTTTTAGAAGTTTAAATTCCAGCCTAGAGAGACTTTGCTTGGGAAGCCCAGGACATGATATATTCTCAGAACCCATGGCTGGGGCTCAGGATGAGGGTGGGGGCTGGGGGCAAGGCATCCATTTGTATTCACAGCACTAGGAGACATTAGTAAACAGATCCCTGGAGGTCCCTAACTATCCAGACTTGACACCACAGAAAGTTACAGGCCAATGAGATACCCTGTTGTCTCCCAACCCCAAAGGACAGCACCTGAGGGATAATGGTATAGCAATGCCCTGGCTTCCACAAGCCTACAGGTGCACAACTACGCAGAGACCAAATTCCTACCTTTCCTATCCCTTCCTTCCCCACCTGTTGTGTATGAAATTCAGTTGCAATTGTATTCAGGTAGTAAGGGACACCCTAGTACTCCTAATTGCCAGATAGACTTTAGTGCTTTTGCCTGAACACCTTACATTGTTTGAGGTCTAGGGCATAGCATGTTGTTGTTATTTTTGT